ATTAGGGGTTGAACGAGTATATAATTTTTAAACTCGACATTAACATAATAAAACCCGAGTATAACTCGAGAATTTGATGACGTCATAGATCTCAAGATACAAAAATAAATAAATAAATAAAACCGCAAAAAAAGGTAATTATTTACAACAACAAAAAAGACCAACAAAACATTGGGAGCGTATATTATGCTCCTACCATTTATCATACTGCAAATAAGTCACAGGAAAAACTAAACTATTAGTTATTATTATTAAACTGCAAACGTGAAGAAACGTGCAGTACGTCAAAAACGAAACTTAAACCGAAACTGGTTCTGGTCGGTGGATTGAACCCGGTGTTACACCATACTCTGTGACCTGCAACAGTGCAACACCGCCCCCTACGGTCATACGGGGGTCACATAATATGACGTCACTACGGATACTCAACGTTACATTTTTAACCTCGATAGATGTCCTAGCAATCGATATGTAGATTACTCGAGTACTCTGTTAATGCCCTAATATATATATATATATATATATATATATATATATATATATATATATACAACAATTCACTTCTGGTAAGATGGCACCCGTGTACATGGCTTGCAATCCACCTCTGGTGATGGTGTTCGAATTATTTTAGTTTTGTTCGTTTTTTATCTGTGATATAAACTCACTGCTGATGTATGACCGACAACAGCTTCTGGATCTTCGTTTTTCTGTCACCGATGTCACTTATTTGGAACAATATGAGCGTACCTCTGTACCTCGCCCCCTGCTGGCAGACATGCTAGCTTATCTCCGCTGCGCTCCTCACCTCCCTGCCCGGAGACATTCACTTCAGACGCCGGGGAAAACGTGCTGGGAGGCTGGTAAAGCTGAAAGCCTTGCACGCTGCATCTTCCTCTTCGGCTGGTGGTCATGGTTTCCGTCGCCAGCTTCCCGCGTGCCTGGACTAGGTAAACAACGGGTGTTGTCAGCTGGTGCGCAGCTCGGACTGACCCGGAGGGGCTGTTATTGAAAACCTGTGGCCAATGATGCGCGCAAACTTGACTGCTGTTGGCTCCACTTTGAACAGTATTCGGATGTGTTTGGTCAATGCAAGATCTGTTACCAACAAAACTTTTATCCTCAGGGACTACTTTCAAGAGTACAAGTTGGACTTTTTCTGTATCACAGAGACTTGGATGTCTCCGGGTGAGTCCAGCGCCTTGACGGAATTATTGCCACCGAACTGTCTGTATTTTAACGCACCGCGGCCATCAGGCCGGCGCGGTGGTGGATTATTAACAATATTCAAACCAACTTTTGACTGTAAACAACTGCCCATCCCAGTTTCCCGTGCCAGCTTTGAGCTGAGCGTCTTTGAACTCGGCCATTTGCCTCCGACGTTATTTGCACTCATCTACCGCCTACCTCAAGCTAAGGATTTCATAAATGAGTTTTCTGACTTCTTAGTTGAAATCACACCAATATATAATCATGTTTTCATTATTGGGGACTTTAATTTGCACATGTGCTGTCCTGAGAAGCCCTTGGTTAAGGACTTTTTAGATTTGTTGGACTCATTTAATCTAACTCAGCATGTAAACGGTCCCACCCAAGAGCGTGGACATACACTGGACCTTGTTTTAACACGTGATGTGACTGTTAGTAATCTTGAAATTGGTGATAATGTTTTTTCAGATCACATGCCAGACCGGTTTGAGTTCACCCTCCCCCATCTAACTCCTAAGCCATGCATTCCTGCATGTCGCAGCCGGACCATTAACTATTTCACTGCCGCACGTTTCACAGATGTTTATAACTCTGAAATGATAATTCAGCCCCTGGTGTTTCTCACTACTACTGACGAGCTGACATCCCAGTTCAACTCTGTCTGCTTAAAGACTCTGGATCATGATGTGCCTGTTAAAACCAAAAAATCAAAACTCAGAGCAGAATCTTGGCTGAGTGACGTCACCAAGCCCGTTAGGCAGTAATGTAGGAGGGCGGAGTGCAAGTGGAGGAAAGACAGGTTGCAGGTGTCTTTTCAAATACTTAAAGAGAGTTGGCGCTGTTATCAGAAAGCAGTGAAAGCCGCTAAATCCAAATACTTCTCTGATATAATTACCTCAAACTCTCGAAACCCACGTGTCCCCTTCTCCACCCTAAACTCTGTTCTCCACCTCACTGAACCATCACCTCTGGAAGCCTCGACTGAGCTGTGCGAGAACTTCTTACATTTCTTTTTGGAAAAATTTGCGACCACCCGGGCTCTCATTTCCCCTCCAACTCATGAACCATCCATCCCACCTCAATCTGTAACTCC